TGTCTGCTAAGGGTGCCCTGTCGCTGCCTTTTTGGAAGTTCTGGAATATAGCATTTTTATTTCCAGCCATATTGTATCTGTAAAATACTGCTGTGTTTAGTACCACCATAGTTTCTGAAGTGGGTTGCAGTGGGCTCAAAATTAAGTAATATTGACAACTATTTTATCTTTCAACCTCTAATTTATTTGTTCTTTAATGAGTAGTAGATGAAGTAACCATTTTTTATAGAGTTCAAGTGAAATACCTCTGAAGTTTCCATAGAACATGTAATTAATTGTCAGAATATGGTTTCTGTTCTTATTAATTACCCTGAACTGATAAAAATTTCTCTGAACTAACTCCCCTCAATTTTCTCCCCATACTTACTCTCGGACTTCACTTACTTAGCTAAATCATATTTATGGATCTTTGTTCTTGGGTTCATTTCTCTACATGTAAGTATGTCCTTGGGTTTACAACTTTCCATTGGCAGAGACAATGATTTCTATTCCTTTTTTCCCTTAATACACCAAAAATGTAGGCCTTTGAAGGCTCCTGATTATCCCATCACAAGTTATTCTCAAATCCCTCTAGGAAATGTCTTGTTTCTATTACAAGAACCACAGTACCAAGAAAATACGGAAATGGATCTTGAGTTGAAAAGTGCCTCTAGTATAGTAGAGACAAAAAGTTGAATTATGAATTCTTATTTTAAAATTGAGATGTAATTCACATACCAAAAAATTTACCATTTTAAAATATGCAATTCAGTATATATTCATGAAGAACAGTACCATTTCTATCTCCTTCCGGAACATGGCATTATACATGTCAAAAGATGTCAAAAGACACCCTGCACCCATGAGCAGGCACTCCCTATTCCCCTTTCCCCAAAGTACTAGAAACTACTAGTCTACATTCTATCTCTTCAGATTTGCCTATTCTGAACATTTCATATAAATAGAATCATATAACATTTTCCCTTTGTGTCTGACTTCTTTCACTTAGCACGATGTTTTTGAGATTTATCCATGTTGTGGCATGTATCATTACTTCCTTTTAATTGCTGAATAATATTCCATTGTGTGGATATACAAACCATCTTTTGTTTATCCATTCATCAATTTACGGACATTTGGTTGTTTCCACATTGGGGTGATTGTGAATAAAGCTGCTGTGAACATTCATGTACAAGTTTTTGTGTGGACATATGTTTTCAGTTCTCTCAGGTATTATTCCTAGGAGTGGAATTGTAGGCCACATGTTAACTCCATGTTCAATTTTATGAGGAACTGCCAAACTGTTTTCCAAAGCCACTGTACTATTTTACATTCCTACCAGCAATGTATGAAGGTTCCAGTTTCTCCACATCCTTGCCAATACTTGTTATTGTCTGTTTTTTTCATGAGATATATATATGCTGATGTTACTTATATTTTCATTTCCCCTGGCATTTATTAGGACTGATATCTTCTCAAACTTCAGTTTGACTTAATTTAAGATACTCTTGCCAGTTAACAAATAACATCAAGGTTAGAAATATCTGGAAGTAGGGAGTATACATTTATCCCGTTACTTAAGGTTCATAGCTAGCTATCCCAAGTGAACTTTCAGTTAAAAAGTTTACATGGATTATTTATGCTGTATTATAAATGAAGTTCTAAAATAACATAATCGGTTCTTATTTTTATAAAAGTCCTGTGTAACGTAGTGAAAAGAAGGGGAACATGCATCCCAATGTTCATAGCAGCAGTGTCCACAATAGCCAAACTATGGGAGGAGCTGAGATGCCCTTCTACAGATGACTGGATAAAGAAGATGTGGTTCATCTATACCATGGAATATTACTCAGCCATCAGAAAGGATGAATACCCCCCCCCCATTTGCATTGACATGTATGAAACTGGAGAGAATTATGCTAAGTGAAATAAGTCAAGCAGAGAAAGACAATTAACATATGGTTTCAGTCATATGGGGGACATAAGAATAGTATGGAGGACCACAGGGGAGGGAGGGAAAAATGAAGGGGAAGAAATCAGAGAAGGAGACAAACTGTGAGAGACTCTGGAATTCAGGAAACAAACTGAGGGTTACAAAAGGGAGGAGGGTGGGGCGATGGGGTAGCCTGCTGAAGAGTATTAAGGAGGGCACCTGTTGTGATGTGCACTGGGTGTTATACACAACTAATAAATTGTTGAACACTACATGAAAAACTAATGAAGTACTATATGTTGGCTAACTGAATATAATAAAAAAAATAAAAAATAAAATGAAATCTATGGGACTAAAAAAAATAGTCCTCTGTATAAAATATTCTTTATAAAAAAATTTAGAATCCCGAATAAAACAATTAAAAATCACCTATAATCCTAAGACGCAGAGATGATAGTTGTTGGCACTGTTATAAATCATTTTTGTTGGTTTTCTATGTGAAGCAGAGTCACACATTTAAGTTAACCTACAATCTGATGGGCAGAGGAAGTTTAATGTCCTTATTTTGTCAATCCCTAACTCATTGTTCTCCCTGGACTCCCCCCACTCACTGGTTATAGTAAAATGCTAACATATAAACTTAGTAAAATTTGTTTGTCTTCAGGCAATGTTTAGTCTGTTCTGGGTAAAAATGTGTAATCTTTCAAGTTGGCTCACTTTTCCACTGTCCAATGGATAAAATTTATTGCGAAATATTTTCAGGAAAAGGAAGTCAACATTAAAGACACTTAGAGGATTCTAATTTTTAAAACAGTCACACCTTCATGAGGCTTTGGCTCCGTAAGATTTGATTTGCAATGGCCTTGGGATAGTCGCCTGTAGTCACATTTCTGCTGTGTGATAACCAAGAGAGAACGTCCTTATTCCTGGCTGTGGTGAACCCAAACACTCTCACTTCCCTCTGATAAAGAAAACAAAAAGACCCATGGAAGCAATGAAAAGGTTCTCTCCACCAGTCATTCTCTGTGATATCCCTGGCTACCAAGTTCACCTCTCATTGAATGTGGGGAAATTGGTGTCACCAAGTATTTCACAATAAGTACTATCTTTTCTGACATAGGGTTATTGTCCCACATCTTGTTGACTTGAAAAACCCAAGTGCATGGCAGAATACTGTGACAGGATCCAATTTGGTACATATGGTGAGGTCAGATATTTCATTGATACAAATGGAAATTCAGAGTTAGGCATTCCTTTGCTTTAGGTAAGACTTGGGATCTTGACCAAATAGTAAATGCTATTATTCTAGCATTGTCTTAGCAAAAAGGACACTTTTGGATTTTTAATAGTCAATGAAAAGGTGGTGTTCTATTATTAAGGTCCTTTGATGCCTGTTTCTAGAACATCCCTGCATCAGAAAAACTTAAAGGTATAATGGCATTCCAGGTTTTTGAGAGACTCTAACATCTCAATATTATGTCTCTATTGTCTGCACAATGGCTAAATGTTGCTTTGCTGAATTTATACATTGGAGAAGGTCCTTTCGAATAAGTGAAAAGAGAAGTAAAGTGTTTCAGCAAAATAATTTGCATATGGAATTTATGTTTATCAAACATAGCGCTTGATCGTAAAACATAGGGTAGCTCACTTCATTTGAAGGCTCGTTTGACCATAAAAAGAAGAGCTCAGAGAATAAAAGTATGTTTTATGATAAAGATTTCATTTCTTCTCCTTATGTATTGAGACCTTTGTAATGAGTATTCTGCTGAAATGTAAAAAAAAAAGAAAAAGAACAACAATAAAAAAAAAAAAAATCCAAATCCCTTCACTCCCAAAACCTAATGGGTATTTGCTCTCTTTGGATGCAGTCAGCTCTGGGTGAACCATCCTTTTTCTTCTACTTCTTCAAACCATCCAGCCTTGGGATGGCAAATTCTAGATTGCAGAGGGAGAATAAATAGCTTCTGGAATAAAAGACAATCATTTTATCATTTTTACATCTAAGGCCCTACTGCAGCTCTAAAATCCTGTAACCCAAAGAGCTGTGAAAACATTAGCAATTCTCATTTGGCACTGACATAAAAGAAAGAGTGATGTATTTTGAGGCCCTAAGACATTCTAGAAAAAAAGCATTGGTGTGGTATGGGCCCCCTTTGGTGCCCTACTTCATGTCTCCTCTCAGCCCACTTTTCACTCCAGTCACTGCTGTGCAAACCTGTTTTGCGTGGCATAACCTGATTGTACCCCATCTTAGTTGCTCCACACTTCTTCTGCTTTCTACCCAGAGACTCCTATGAGTCCTACAAAATCTGTCAGCGCTCACATAGGGGCATACTGGAAGTGTGAGGAAGTCATTCCATAGGGTGACTCTCAACCAGTGGAAGACAGATGCCAATGAACAAATGCTCCCATCTCCCTTCTTAAGAGTGACTTGAAGGTGCCGTGTCTATGGCCTCTCAGAAGAATCCCACAGGATAGAGCCTGGTTGCCTATGATGACCAACCCACACACTCACTTTTGTGTTGGCTTTCCTTCCTTCCATTCTTTCCTCTCCCTGTCCCCCCATTCTGGTTTCCTAGGATCACTTTAACAAAGAGACTCTGCATGCAAGCCCTGCTCTCTGGAGAATCCTAGGCTAGGAAAGATACTGCTGCTCACAGGTTTAGGTCTGCTTTCAGAAAGAGTGACATTCAAAGTCAGAACTCAGAGAAAAGATCACTTGGCGGCTTATTCACATCTTAACCTGTACTGTATCTTAAATTACAAGTGTTTGCAAAACAGAATTTTATTCTGCTTACCAAAAAAGTCATATACACATAGCATGTGGGCAACACATTTATCGTAACAGATATCCATTAGAAATCACAAGTGAAAATACTAGCCCGTTTGTTCCAAGAATGAAACTCCAACGGTATCAAAGCCAGAGCAGGTCTGAAATAAATGGGAATCAGTGCCATCTAAAAGTACTTATCCTCTCAAAGCCCTGCAATTCCCTTGAAAAACGTAAATATCTCTGAATGAAGCCCCGAGTTCCTGGCTTATCTGCATCCTTCTCTGTTTCAGGCAAATGCCCACAGCCCTGTCGAAATGGAGGTAAATGCATTGGTAAAAGCAAATGTAAGTGCTCCAAAGGTTACCAAGGAGACCTCTGTTCCAAGCGTAAGTACCCAGAACCAGTAAGTACCCATCCGCAGAATCAGCTCGAGCTTGGGGATCTCTTCCTACACAACTTCTGGGCCTCCTGCGTGTTGCCTGAGCATCACCATGATGCTCAAGGACATCTGTGTTCCCTTTCTCTAGAACAAAGACACTTTATGAAATCCATGCATGTGAAAACACGGACACATTCACACACGAGCAACTCAGCTTTTTAACTATTTGGGGTTTTCTTAAGGAAAATGAGCTTCCATTCCAGCAGTTTCTGAGTCCTACTGAGCATCTTTTGTGACTCAGAAGCATCAAGCTTAGTTTACCATCTCTCTCGGGCCTTTTTTCAAAAAGTCCCCAACTGACTTAGAGCTGGAGATTGGCTTAGAAAAACAACAACAACAACAACAAAACAACAACAGGGGTGAAGCCCAAACTAATACATTCTAAAGAACTGCAGGAAAGGCGACTAATTCTGTTGAACAGTGAAAGCTCAGGAAACACTTTCTATCTCCTCCGGTTCTAGCGGTCTGCGAGCCTGGCTGCGGTACCCACGGAACCTGTCATGAGCCCAGCAAGTGCCAATGTCAGGAAGGCTGGCACGGAAGACACTGCAATAAAAGTGAGTGGGAAGCATCTGGAGAGCCCGCCTCTAGCCTATCTTGGCTCCCGCAGCTATAGATGACCCGTAACTCAGCCCTGCTTCCCATGTTTGCCTCCTGTCCCCCGGGCTCGCCCCTAGCCCCCTCAACTCTCTAAACCTTTGAGTCTAAGTTTTAGAGTCTACGGGCAATGCAGCTGTGCAAATTATCACCACATCTGTAAAATAGCTCTACTTTTCTAAGTTAAACCAGTAATTCAGGTTGATTTGGTAATACAGTGTGGTAACTATGAAAGAAATAACAAGTATAAGGGTCTAAACCAAATATATAGATCTGTTTGGCTCTGATTTTATCCTTTAAGATCTACCTGTGAGCATATAAAACATGAAGAATTTTGCTCTTGAGGGTTACTAAATATTATTGGTTGTGGTATGTTTCAAATAAGTTCTTTTGAGGCAGAAAAAAAAAGAAAAAAAGAAAGAAAAAAGAAGGAAAGAAAGAAAAGGTCTAGGGAGTATGGAGTTGTGGATTTTAAAATTTACTGACTACCCAAAAATGAGCTAGCTGTAGAGATGATAAACCACTGGCCTGTTTTCAGCACAAAATGAAACTGGTTCAATTCAACCATTTCATTTTGATTGAGATCTTCTCTGTTCCAAGCAAGAATCCAGGTACTGGAGACCTGTCAGTGAGATGACAAAAAATGCCCCACCTGGTGGGGCTAGCATTCCGTCTCCTAAGCTAAGGTGGGCTTAGGAGAGCCTAAGGTGGGCCCACGGTCCACCTTGCCTTTGAAGGAAGGCAGGCTTCAGTCATCCAACAGCCTTCAAACGCAGAAGTTCAGCTTTGTGCCTATCACAGTCAGTTTCCAAAATAATGGACACAAATTGCACAGATCACCTTCACAACAGATATTTTTCTAGATCCACCGTTTCCAAAGGGTGGTCTGTGCAGCCCAGGGAGTATGGAAGTTATCAGCTAGGTGGATGGAAAAGACGGGTTTGACAATAGTTTTATATTTTTTGTTATTTTATTATATTTATATATAAGTTTATATATAAATATATATCTCAATCTCAAATCTCTAATTTTTGTGTATATTTTATAATCACATTATATTATTATGATGTATATCTAATACATTTATATGTAGGTATACGTGCCTTTTTGTTTGTTGGTTTTAAGGCAAGTTGGTGTTTGGTCTGTGCTACACTAAGTCATTGACTTGAGTCTTGTCACGTGCCACATTGACTGGATGGTAGACTGAATTGGCTTCAGGTGGGTGTAGCTTAACCAGAAGTTCAGCTCTTCTGGAAAATAGTTCTTTCCGCAGGTAGTAATGGCTAAATGTATCCCTACAGGGACACACTTGGGGGAAGCTTTTTTTGGACTAAAAGAACTGCAGAAAACTAACCATTTCGAGAGATACTTGGGGAAAGAGTAAACCAAATCTTTTACGCCACCCTTAACTCAGGATGCAAGTAACTTTTGAGATATCCTGGGGCCTAGGGATGGGCTGAGGTCACACTATACATCCCAGGCATCAGTTGCAAAGCTCCTCTGGGACCCACACTTGGGACCTGGTGACCGAGGGTGATGGCAAGAGAGTAGGGGGCACTGTTCCCGCTGATAAACCAGTCACATCACCAAAAAGAAGGCAAGTCAGGGGCCCTCGAGTAGCATCGATGAGCAATTTGGACAGGACTGCCAGCCCCCATCCACCCCCACTCCTCGACCTGCTGCTGAGAGTTTTGTCATCGATGTACCTTCCTCAGGTCACGGCGTTGCCTCAAGATGATGCCCCAGCGCCTGATTAAAATGCAAATGTGGTGTCCAGGAGAGGCTACCCAGCCATTTTGTACATGAGCTTAGAGAATCAGGCAGAAAGAAAGAGATTTATTTTGACCAGGGGGAGGTGACAAGGAAGGTCGGAGGCATGGAGTGCTGGAGAGAACAGACTCCCAGCGAGGTGACACTTTGGGAGGTCTCAGGCACCCAGACGTGTTAGTGGGGAGGAGGACATTGGAGACAGACTTCCCGGCTGAGGCTCACCCTTGCCAGCAGGGAGGTTCGGGCTTCATGGGTGGCGGGGAGAACAGCAGGGTAGGGATTTACTCCAGCGCATTGTTGGCTCATGTTCTGGCTGTTCCTTGAGCTACCAGCCTACATACTGACAATTCAGAGAAACACATTCGGGAACAAAGCATTCTGTTCTCAGTAGTTACTTAATGGCATGCTTGCGTTTAAAAACCACAGGGAACAAATGGAATGCCAAACTCGACTTTAATGCACAGGAAGATGGAGGCAGATTTTTTAAATGTGATTGCCCCCTCGGATCCCTTTTAGGAAATCAGGAGAAAGGAGTCAGTGCCTCAGGCACCTCTAGAAGTTCGCAAGTAGGAGAAAGGGAGGTCTGAAGCTATGGAACTTAGTATTACTGTCCACTTACAACTAAGCTGGAAATGGATAGATGCCCACCATGACTGAAACTGACATGGATAAGGAGTCCGTTCAAATCATAACCCTTCTCTAAAATGCAGGGTGGAGGTCCTTAGTTCTTGCAAAATTCCCATTTTGTGTAAGTGCAGTTGCCACACTTGATTGTGCAATCACTATGAAGAGATGAAGAGCGGGGAGTATTCCAGATCAATATAATCGAGGCTGAATTTGCAATGCAGTGAAAATGATCAGATCCTCTGCAGGAACATCCCTGCTTTGGGGACCTCAGTGCCAGATCCTTTCCAGACCTTGGGTGGAGAAAATCCTTCATTCAACCACATCCATCCGAACTTTGCATCAAGAGTTTCTGCATGGCCAAAATCTATAGGGAGTCAGAGCTTCGATGGAAGCCAGATTTGATGGCGTTCCTAAAATAGGTTCCTTTTTTAGCAGAGACCTTTTACCTGTAACATCTCTTCATTCAGGTGGCTTTTTGTGGTGGCTGTGGTCTACTCTGGGTTGAAAAGGGAAAATGGATTTCATTTGAATGGTTAGTAATGAATCTGAAGAGCCTGTTTTTGTAGTTTCTTTTCTTTTAAGCTGTGAATAATTTTACAGGGTACGGAGCCCGCCTCATGCATGCCCTGAGGCCAGCAGGCACCCGGCTGGGGCAGCACACGCCTTCACTTAAAAAGGCTGAGGAGCGGCAGGATCCACCTGAATCCAATTACATCTGGTGAACTCCGACATCTGAAACGTTTTAAGTTACACTAAGTTCATAGCCTTTGTTAACCTTTCATGTGTTGAATGTTCAAATAATGTTCATTACAGTTAAGAATACTGGCCTGAATTTTATTAGCTTCATTATAAATCACTGAGCTGATATTTACTCTTCCTTTTAAGTTTTCTAAGTATGTCTGTAGTGGGATGGTATAGATTTCTTGTTTCAGTGCTTTGGGACAGATTAGATGTTATATCAGTTGATCAGGTTAAAATTGTGTCTTTTCAGTTGTGTAGCTGGCGAATAATTTCCAAAATTACAATGTACTCATGGTGTCAAGGGCCTGAGGAACACTGGAAATGGAACAGAAATGCATAAATCAAGGGTTTGGATGGAGCAGTTAACTGTGTTGAAGTTACAACATTTCTAATTTTACTGTCATGAGTTTAGACATTTGTCACATTTTTAAAGTTCCCCTTGTTCTTAAACTCTCAATACACCATATTTTGACCGAATTTTGACCTCACCATGATTCCAGAGAATTCAGTATTGAAAGAAAGAGAAAGAAAGAAAGAACATGGTGGCAGTGGCATTTAACAATATAATATATTGTAAACACAATAAAATAGGGAATATAACGTATGGACTTTTGGCATTGGCTTGGAGCAATATAATATATTGTAAACAAAACACAGCTCTTACATAATGAACATTTTAAACTGTTTGTATAAAATAAAGGTACTGCTTTAGTTTTCTGAGGGTTGTATGGAGTGGTCTGTGCATGTGCAATCTTATGGAAATAAAGTCGGTGTCAATGAGTTGCAGTGAGTGGAAATAAAGTTGGTTACAAAGAAAACTCGGCAGAATCATAAAAAACAGAAGAGATTCTATTCTCTGACCCAGTCGGGCTCCCGAGGCCCACCTGTCCCTCCCCGCCCTCTCCCCCAGCTACACTCTGAGCCCTGCCCGAGACCTTCCCATGTTTGTCAGCTCCCATTTAGTTGGCATTGGTTTTTAGACGTTGTCTCTTCACTAGAATGTGTTAAATATCCCTTCAGAGGGAGACTTTCTAAGACTTTCTAAAAGTGTCAGAATGTTGCAAATGACAAGAGCTACCATTTATGAAAAACCTATTGGTTCCCAAGAACATGATAGTGTGTTACCTTACAATCAGTTGAGGCAGGTATCATTTTGCCCTTTTACAGATAAGAAAACTGAGGTAGGAAGATACATAGCAATTTATCCAAGATCACACTCGAGTGGGACGGGTTTGAATTCATGTCACCTGATTCTGGAGAATTCGCACAAGGTGGTTCCCCCTCCTTTTTTCTCAGCAACTGCAGCAGAACACAAAACTCCACAAATCCCAAGCAGGTACTGTCCAATATATTTTAGCCTCCTTGTCCTGCCAAGGAAATGTGGACTTTATGTTATAGACAATCCAAAGCCTATATGTTCTTCTTTTGCTGGGCAGTGGCCTAACGACTTGTGTGGTCCAGGAATGTGACATGTCATGGGAAGTGATCAAGGGAGAAGCTGAACGTAGAGTGAACATGTCTTTTCATGGTGCAGGGCCACAGCAGTCTTCCTCCTCTAACTAGCCAGAGCCTAGAGTGCCAGCCTCTGTTCCCACAGACTTGGAGGAGCAGGCCAAGAGCCAAGGAGCTCACCATGGGAATTCCAATATGAAAACCAACTGATTTAAGACTTTGAAGTAAAAATCCAGATGCTTGATAATGAGGGTTTAAGACGGTGACAGAAAGTTAAGTTTGGGGATAGGATACTACTACTAATAGCTAACACTTATACAGTACTTAGTTTATTCCAAGCACTTTACCTCATGGATGAGTAATAAAATGGCGGGGAAGTTAGACTGAAGGCAGTGTGACAAACCACGACAGTCTACGTGGGTCATCTCCAAATGTCATTCTGACTCCAAACCAATCATACTTCATTAGAAATTTCTGAGCACATACTCCTGCATGTGACTATTATTTATTTACATATTTAACTGGTATGCTTTAAAAAAGCCAGATATGTTGAAGAGATAAAAATATAAGTAGAAGCTCTAACATTTTCTCCATTTATCCAGAAGATAGTTTTATGCACACCCGGGGGTACACACCCATAGGAGAACTCAGGCTAAGAGGAGCGAGAGGAGGACCTGAAATGGCTTTAGAATCAGAGTCTGCACTCAAGAAGGATTTCAATCGTAAGCAAGGGACTGGGTCACGGGGTGAATGCAGGGTTCCGAATGGAACTCCGAATGGAACTCAGAATGGAATTCCGAGAGGAATCCGAATGGTGACTAAGGAGGAAGTGTAAGTGACTAAGGAGGAAGAAGTATGGGCAGTGGTGAGGGTTTCCAGAGATGCTGAGTTTGGTACTGAATATATTGAGCTTAATGTGTCTTTGGGACATCTTGGTGGAAATGTCTGATAGGCAACTAGAAGTACTGTTATTAGGATGTTAGTCTGATAATTTGTTGATTATTAGTTTTACTATAAGTGAATGGTACTAATTCTATATTGAATTGCTTTTAATATAAATATACATAATAGCTTTATTTGGTGAAGTGCAATACAATTCACTTGTGTTTTATTGTGTCCTTATTTTGTTTTAAAGATTTTATTGACTTATTTGAGAGACAGGGAGAGAGAGAATGCATGAGCGAGGGTTGGGAGGGCAGAGGGAGAAGGAGACTCCCTCCAGAGCAGAGACTCTGATGTGGGGGCTCCAAGCAGGGCCTGATCCCAGGACCCTGACATCATGACCTGAGCTGAATGCAGATACTTAATGACTGAGCCACCCAGGCGCCCCTTTATTGTGTCTTTAGATCCTGAATAGTTAATACCATTTGCCGCTTTCCTGTGTCTATGTTTATTTCTATAACAGGGTATAGCCTTTACTATATATATATTTTTATATATTTATTTGGCAAATTGGCAAATTTATTTGTATTTATTTATTTGGCAAATTGATCTCCTTCCCCTGTGTGCATTATGAATCTTCATCCAAAATATGCCCTTTGGTTACTTTGTCAGGTTATGTAGAATCACAACAAAGACCAATGATATGGGATATGAAATAATTGTTGTTACTCTTCTGAAGTAACCACAAAAGAGAAGAAGGGAGAGGAAGAAGAAGAGAAAGAAGAGAAAGAGGAGGAGGTGCCTGGGTGGCTCAGTTGAGCCTCCAACTCTTGATTTCAGCTCAGGTCATGATCTCAGGGTCATGAGACTGAGCCCTGCATTGGACTCTGGGCTGAGCCTGGAGCCTGCTTGGGATTTTCTCTCCCTCTCCCTCCACTCCTCCCCTCACCTCCCCTGAAAGAGGAGGAGAGTATTTATATAAAATACCTCTAAACAATGCTTTAAAAGTTAAAAGAGTGAGGAGTTAAGGTGGTCTGAGAAGATGTGTACAGTCTGGCAAGATAAAATTAGTAGGAAAACTTAAGCAAGAGAAAATAAAAGCTAAACAATAAAATGGGCCCAGGGAATGAGGTTAAGATAAAAGGCCACAGGGACTCCTGCACACTTGTGAGAGGTAGGTGGATGACTCATTTAGCTCTAAGCCCTGCTCCAGCCGCCTCAAGGAGGAAATTGGGGCTGGTTATGAGTCCCAAAACCGTAAACACAAAAACTAACTAGTTGCTCAGGAGAAGTTAAACTATATAAGACACTTATATTAGGGCTGGATTAAGATAGGAAGGTCTGTAGGAAAGCTGCTTTAAAGCCAATAGTCTTTAAAATATCTCTTCCATATGTGGGGCGCCTGGGTGGCTCAGTGGGTTAAGCAACTGCCTTCAACTCCGGTCACGATCCCACAGTCCTGGGATCAAGCCCAGCTCAGTGGGGAACCTCCTTCTCCCTCTTCCACTCCCCTGCTTGTATTCCCTCTCTCATTGTCTCTCTCTCTGTCAAATATAAAACTAAAATTAAAAAAAAAAAAAAAATCTTTTAAAAGAAAAACCTCTTCCACATTTATTTACAAGGAGCTGCTTAAAGAGGTTTTTAAAAAAAGGGTTCCTGACAGGGTTCAGCTTCTCATCCAGTATCCCAGGCAGTTTGTCTCCGGTCCTAAAATTCCATGCCCCACCCAGCAAGCAAAACTCTCCAGTTCAATCCAGCCAAGATGCTCGGAGGGAAGTTTACAGAGTGTACTGTTTACTTGATCATGCTCCTGGAAATTCTTAGCCCCTCCCCAAGAGGCTTCTCAAAATATTCCCTGCAACCATATACACTACCCCTCCTAAAAGAAGTTTTGGTAATGAAATTTTTTTTCTCCTCTCATTCCCTGTCCAGTGACCCTTAGGATACAATTCTAGCTTGTTGGGCTTGGCATCACCCCCAGATGAGCTAGCCCTTCTGCCAACTCTAACCGAAAGTGGGGAGCAATGTCTCCTGTGGGTTCTCGCACGGAGGTCAGAGGGTCACGCATGACACATGACTCAGTTATATAGACCGAGTAGCCACAGGTAGAACTATTTCTTTCCATGCTCTTCCAGAAGGCACAAATCATCACAGTAAAATGCAGTTTCATAACAGCATTTCTACCAAAGTAAGGGAGGAAGAGAGAACACGGTGAGGTGAGCAATTTTTAAATTAGTTAAATGAGAAACATGGCCATTTCAGAAGAATTTCCTGAGGCAATAAAAAGGAAAGAAAAGGAGAGAAAACAAAGGACTATCCAAAGACAGGGGTTTCATCATCATAATTTTTAGGCAGTTTATGCAAGTGGTGCAAATATAACAGTTTAATAAGCCTATTGAATAAATGTCCTCCAGATGGCTCAACATAAAAAAAATAGAAACAATCTACAGGAAATGGACATCATAAAACAAAGTATTCAGGTGTTCAGTAAGACTTTTTTTTAAAATTCTAATATAAACTCCAGTGGAAATTGATTTTGCACCTATTTACTGGTTTATTGTTAATAAGAATCTAGAAATTACAAATGAAAAATAGTTTTTATTAAGCTTTGGTATTACAAAGCTTTTCCTAGGTAACACAATTCCCTTCCTGATCATGTTTGGCTGGCACAGCTGTTGGAATTACCTGGCATTTCTCCAAAGTCTAGACCAAGAGAAGGCCGCTCTGAGATGACAATCCATATGATCCACAGGAGGACCACTGAAAGTTGACTCACAACAGGGTGAATATCAGCTTCCCACTCCAGTGACCATGACACTGAGCATGGTCTTGAGGCTGCGTCTGGGGCTATAGGTGGGAGAGAGAAGAGCAAGAGGAGAGTGGAGAGCCTTTGTCAACAATAATCCAAGCAGAGACTAGCTGTCTCATTAGAGGGGCTCAGTGCAAGATGAAAATATGGGGCCCCTTGTTCAAAAAGCATTAAGAATATCACCATGGTAACCACAGGGCATTAAGCCTGGGGTCTTTCTCCAAGCAAGGGCCCTGTGCAACAGCACAGTTCACACATCCATGAAGCTAGCCCTGACCAGGTGCAAGTTCTTAGGTCCGTGGACAAGGAAGTCTAGGTAAAATGCAAAACATCTTCCTCTCCTAAGACACTGGCCAGATAAGCTCTTCCGTGCCTGTCCCTCTCTC